CGGGGTCCCCATATCTGGGAGGGTGCTTGGATCCCTGTCATGTCCCCGTATCTGGGAGGGTGCTTGGAGCCCTGTCAGGGTCCCGTGTCCGGGAGGGTGCTTGGAGCCCTGTCGGGGTCCCGTGTCTGGGAGGGTGCTTCGAGCCCTGTCGGGGTCCCGTGTCTGGGAGGGTGCTTAGAGCCCTGGCAGGGTCCCCGTGTCTGGGAGGGTGCTTGGAGCCCTGTCGGGGTCCCGTATCCGGGAGGGTGCTTGGCCCGACTGTGGCCACCATGGCATTGTCACCTCCTCTCTTCAGAGTTACCTGTTCCTGCTGTCATCGGACTACGAGAGGTCGGAGTGGAGAGAAGCGATTCAGAAACTGCAGAAGAAGGGTAAAGGCCGGCCCCCCACACTCCCCAGCAGTGTCGGGGCACTGATGGGCCTTGTGTGTTTCTGAGCATTTCGTACCCAGTGTCTCCTCTGTGGCCCTCACAGTCACCCTTGAAGGTGCCAGGGAGGTGGCATTGAAGGGTGTTACAGATTAATTGAGATCCAAAGAATTTTAAGTGATTTGCTTAAAAAAATGAGTTAGTGCTGAGACTGGACTCAGAGCCCACCCTGTGCGCTCTCTCTCTCTCCCCCCCACTCTTTTTTTCTGTGTCTTTCTCTCTCACTGTCTCACGCACACACACACACACACACACACACACATGCCAGGTGCAGTGGCTTATGCCTGTAATCTCAGCACTGCAGGTGGATCACCTGAGGTCAGGAGTTTGAGACCAGCCTGGCCAACATGGTGAAACCCTGTCTCTACTAAAAATACAAACATTAGCTGGGCGTGGTGGCAGGAGCCTATAGTCCCAGCTACTCAGGAGGCTGAAGCAGGAGAATCCCTTGAACCTGGGAGGTGGAGGTTGCAGTGAGCTGAGATCACGCCACTGCACTCCAGCCTGGGTGACAAAACAAGACTCCGTCTCAAAAAAGCAAACACATACATGCAAACCTCTTCAGTTAGAGTCTCCTGCCCTAACCCCTCTGATAGCACTTATACCAGCCCCCACATGCCCACAAGTCCTCCCCCTCCCTCCCAGGGACCAACTCTGCCCCAGGGATTATGCTGTTTTCCTGCAGCAGCCCCAGGGAAGAGCAGCAGGTCCTAGTGGACCACTGCCGACACTCCCTTCTCCCTCGGCTCTCCCTTCAGATCTCCAGGCCTTTGTCCTGAGCTCAGTGGAACTCCAGGTGCTCACGGGATCCTGTTTCAAGCTTAGGACTGTACACAACATTCCTGTCACCAGCAATAAAGACGGTAAGTTCTGGAGCCCGAGGTTCCCCACCGGCAGGTCCCAGCCCCTGGAGCGTTGCCGGCTTCCCCTAAGGACCCAGGTAGACACGTGGCTGTGAATGACTGATCCCTGCTCGGCTGTGCTGAGACTGTCCAGTGGTCAGGGACACAGAGAGCTTGGATGAGGCGACTGCCCACTGAGTTCCAGGTGACCCCACCTTTTCCTCGGGCCCCTCATCTGGCGTGAGAGAAGAGCTGGCCCTGGTGTGCTGAGATTGTGCTGTTAGTATGTTCGTGAGATAGGGAGCCAGTAGATAAAACAGCATATGGGAAGGAAGGCAGGAAGTTTCCGGCACCAGCTCTTGAAAGGTCTCCAACGCCAAGCAAGGAAGTTTGGAGTTCAGACTGCAAGCGCAGGAGCACGTGGGGGTTTCTGAGCAGAGGAGGGCAGCAGTCAGCGCTGGAGCTGAGCCGGAGTGCTGGATTCTAGCTGCCTGCGGTGCTGGGGATGGGCCGCTTTGTGAGCGGGGTTCTGAAGGGAAGCTTTCCTCCACCTAGGAGGGGCATCCAGGGATCCCAGGCAGGGGCATGGCTGGGCCCTCTCTTTTCCACTAGCAGATTGATTGATCGTATGGCTGTTTTCGCCGCCAGGGTAGGCAGGATTCGGAGGGAGGAGCGGCACCCGTGGGGGATACTTCTGAGTCCTGGGTGGGGATGGCTGAGCCAGGAGTCCTCCCGGGGCAGCTCACGTCCCAGTAAGCCGTGGGCTTCGGAAACGTTTCCCTCCGGCCACCAGGTGGCGACATTGGACCGAGACACAGGCTGAGCCTCCCGCCAGCTGGGCGGAGGGAGCCGCTGACCACCGCCACCCTGGTGGCCTTTCTCTCTTGCAGACGACGAGTCTCCGGGACTCTACGGCTTCCTTCACGTCATCGTCCACTCCGCCAAGGGATTCAAGCAATCAGCCAGTAAGTGCCCCGGCCCCCACCCAGGACGCAATTGGGCGGGCCACTGCGGGTCCTGCTGTGCTCTGTTCTGCCCAGGCCGGGGGCCGCCAGCTCGTCTTTAGACATGGGGCATTCCCCAGAAGGCCAGAAGCCAGCTCCTCCCAGGGGGGAGGTCACCCCTGCCCTCTGTCTTCAACGCCCTCTTTCTCAAGCCCCCCCCCACCTCAATGCCGTCTGAAACCCTAGAGCGACAAACACGTGGACCCCAATTCACATCGGCCCTTGATAGGCTGTGGGACCTTTGGCAAGTTTCTTAACCTCTCTGGGCCTCCACGAAAAGGCAGTCACGCTTGTGAGTTGTGACCTGAGAGCCGGCTGAGATATGATCGCATTTGTGTGACGCTGATGCCCGGCCATGCTTACCCCTCTTTCTCCCCTTCTCTGTGGTCTCCTAGATCTGTAGATTCGTCGTCCTAAATCTGTTTTTGTGTTTCATAAAATAGGAGTGTAGTTTTTTTAATTTAAAAAAAAATTTGTTTAAAGACGGAGTTTTGCCATGTTGGTCAGGCTGGTCGTGAACTCCCGACCTCAGGTGATCCACCCGCCTCGGCCTCCCAGAGTGCAGGCGTGAGCCACCGCGCCCAGCCTGAGTGTAATTTTTTTAAAAAAAGAAAAACATTTTTTGTAGAGACAGGTTCTTACCCCATGTTGCCCAGGCTGGTCTTGAACTCCTGGGCTCAAGCGATCCACCCACCTCAGCCTCCCAAAGGGCTGAGATCACAGGCATGAGCTCTGATGCCCAGCCTGGTGGCACTTTTTATCACTCACTTTTTATCGCGCTGTTTTATCACTCACTTTTTATCGCGCTGTTTTGTCACTCACAACGTGCTGCTCCCACTGTGAGTTCTCTGAGGCCGGGAACCAGGCTTCCTTTACCCTGGGATGAACAGGACTCAGAGACGCTGAGTGAAGTTGCCAATTTGCGGAGCCCCTGCCGTGCACTGGGGAAAGCGAGAGCATGGCTGGCCGGCGTGGGCTGTGTGTGGGCTGCATGTGGGCTGCGTGTGGGCTGTGTGTGGGCCGGCGTGGGCTGTGTGTGGGCCGGCATGTAGGTCAGCGTGGGCTGTGTGTGGGCTGTGTGTGGGCCGGCGTGGGCTGTGTGTGGGCCGGCATGTAGGTCGGAGTGGGCTGTGTGTGGGCTGAGTGTGGGCCGGCGTGGGCTGTGTGTGAGCCGGGTGTGGGCAACCACGCGCATCAAAGCCTGTGGCGGGTTCAAAGCCTTCTGGGCTCATGGCCTGCTCTGAGCCTCTGGCATCCTGCCGACGTCACAAAAACCATCCCCGTTTTACCCACGAGGGTGCTGAGGCTCAGAGGGTTCCGGGTCCTTCCTGGGGTCGCACGGTAGCAGGTGATGCAGCAGAGTCCACGTCTTCCGGGCCCAGAGCCCGAGCTCTTCCCTTTAGGATGCTTTTCAAAGTCTGGCCAGGACCTCCGCACCGTCACTGGGGTGGCTGGTTAAGGTGGAAACTTCCTGAATCTCTCGAAACCCACAGACTCCCCTTCCGGGGGGCTGCTACTGAGGCACGTCTGGCTAGTGAGTGCTTCGGGACTGTGCCGCCCGCCCGTGTCTCTGCAGCACCCGGATGCCGCCCTCCTCCCTCTCCTGCTGCCCGTGGGCTGGGAGGTCCTCACCTCGGGGAGCCCAGCAATGGCATGGCGCAGGCCTTCTGCCTCCCAGCCTGGGCAGGTGCCAGAACCCAGCCGAGCTGCTCCGGAGGCTCTCCTTACGCCCAGAGCATCCTCACTCCCTTCCCCCACCCCGCCCTTCACATGTCTGTTCTCACTCAGAGGTGAGGCCCTGTATCTGCAGCATGGCTTCATGTCCCGCTAAACTCACGGCCTCCGGACAGGGTGTTGGCACCAAGGCCGTTCCTGTAGTGCAGATGGGGAACCTGGGAGAGAAGTCAGGTGACGTGTGCAGAGTGGGATGTGGACCCAGACAGTTTGACTTTGGAGCCCTCGCTCTGGCCCCAGGAGCTGTCCCCCAGCCCCAGAAGGGGGGTTTGCTCACACCAAGATCAGTCGTGAAGACAGCGCTTCACGGCCCATCCCAGACTCACAGCCCCTCCCAGGTCAGGGCCAGGCCGGGTTGCTCAGCACCTCTGCAATGTCCTGCGAACCCACAGCCATGCTCCGTGTGGTCTGATACCCACCCCGGTCTCCTTCCTGTTGCCCCAGCCGGAGGCTTTTTGGAGCAGCTGCACTCTCCCTTCTGTGGGAAAGCTGCTTTTTTTTTTTTTTTTTGAGGTGGAGTCTCACTCTGCCGCCCAGGCTGGAGTGCAGTGGCGCAATCTCGGCTCACCACAACCTCCGCCTCCCAGGTTCAGGCAATTCTCCTGCCTCAACCTCCTGAGTAGCTGGGATTACAGGCGTCCGCCACCACGCCTGGCTAATTTTTGTATTTTTAATAGAGACGGGGTTTCACCATGTTGGCCAGGCTGGTCTCAAACCCCTGACCTCAGGTGATTGGCCCGCCTCAGCCTCCCACAGTGCTGGGATGACAGGCGTGACTGACCGCACCCAGCCTGTCTGATGGAGACCGGCCCAGCTGGACAGCTCCAGGGGCCAAGTGGAATGCGCCACCTGCACGTGTGCCCGCCCTCTGACCTCTGCCCCTTGTCCCCTTGGTTCACACCGCAGAGGGTTGGCCTAGTATCCCAAAGGCCCCCCTGACACTGCCTCTAGTTCCTGGGAACAAGCTCAGCAGCTCCCCGCGAGGCGGGGGACTGCCGGTTCTGAGCCCAGGGCAGGTGTGGTTTGCAGAGGCCTGGGGTCCGTGCCAGCACTGTGGGCTCAGCAGGTGGGTCCCAAGATAGATTTTCAGCCTGAATTCCAGGTTCCACATGGAAAAGCCCCTGGCCCTGCCCTCCCGCCCCTGTCTTCACCGCTTTGTTACCTGGAGCACTGGGCGGGGTGGCGGGGGGGAGGCGGGGGGCAGGCGGGGGGCTTCACTTGCCATGTGCCGGCTGGGTACCCAGCCCTGTTCGTGGTCCTTCGGGTGCACCGGCGGGCAGGAAAGCCCAAGGCTTCTCTTCACCTGGTGTTTACGTCCTGCAGGGAGAGAGACGGGACGCTCAGGAAGCGAAGGTCCCTTTAGTTGATGTTGAGTGCAGTGGAGGGAACCTCGGCGCCGGGCCTGGGGGTTTGGGGTGTCACTGTTCATCACAGCCTCAAGGGTTGCTGCAGGCATTCAGGACCTGGAGGCAGGGTCGCTCAGCGCCTCCAGCACCTCCCACCCCAGGTGCTGCTGCTGAGACCTGGGCATCAGTGTCATGGGGAGAGGTGGCACCAGGCGGGTCGGTGAAGACTTTGCGGTGATGTCTCCATGGTGAGGGAGATTTGGAGACAGCACGTTTGAGGACCCTTTAGAGGGAAGAGGAGGCCAGAGTGTGGGGTGGGCTGAGGGAGGGAGGGCAGAGCCCCCTGAGAAGGGGGCAGGGGAGCAGGAGGAGCCAGATGGCACCGGAATTCAGGGAGAAGAAAGCTGAGGTGTAAGGGACAGACACGGTGTCCTCCTTCCTGAGCATGGCGTGTCCGGCCCTGGCCCCACTCCCAGGCTCTCGGCCTCACTCGCATCTCTGCCTGTCCTTCTCCTGCAGACCTGTACTGTACCCTGGAGGTGGATTCCTTCGGCTATTTTGTCAGCAAAGCCAAAACCAGGGTGTTCCGGGACACAGCAGAGCCCAAGTGGGATGAGGTGAGTGGCGGGGCTGGCGTCTGTGCAGGGACCCCCGAGTTTGCACTGAGTGTGCCCCACCGCCCCGTGCTCGTGCCCTGTCTGCCGGGGACGGAAAGCCGGTTTGTTGCCGGACCAGCTCCATCCACTTCCCGCTCTCTGCTCCCGGCTCCTCTGGCGTGCGATCACTGTGTGTGTCTGGGCATCAGACCCTGCAGTGCCGGCTCAATCCCCGCAGTCTCCATGAGGGATGGGAGGCCTCACAGCCCCGGGAAATCTGGTGTGTTCTCCGCAGGCTGTGCCGACTCCCTCCTTCTCACAGAGCTGAGGCCCACACCTGCCAGAAAGCCAGGTCTCCGTGCCGGGGAAGTTCAGGGCCCTTTGTCCTGTGTTTCCGTAGGAGTTTGAGATCGAGCTGGAGGGGTCTCAGTCCCTGAGGATCCTGTGCTATGAGAAGTGCTATGACAAGAGCAAGGTCAACAAGGACAACAACGAGATCGTGGACAAGATCATGGGCAAGGGGCAGATCCAGGTGAGGCTGGGCCGGGGCGACTGTGGGGGAGGCCGGGCCCGGGGCGAGGCTGGCGGAATCCTGGCCGAGGAGCGTGCTCCTGTGTGATTCTGCTTCCAAGCCAGCTGGAGTGCTGCACCCCTGCTGGAGGCGGCTGCTGACTGTGCCCGGCAGCCCAGGTGTGCCCGGGTCAACCACACTCCGCGGCCCAGGTGTGCCCAACTCCCCAGGCGGGTCATCCACACTTTCTCGGGATGAAAACGACTCGCTGCTTTCACACCCAGCTATAGTCTCTGGGCACTTTTTCCCGGAACGCCGTGTTGAGAAAGGTCTGAGGCGCGTCGGTGAGCAGGAGGGGAGAGTCTGTGTGATGGGCAGTGTCCGCCTTCGACGTGGGGCAGAGTGAGGCGCGCGGCTCGCGCGTCTGCTGTTCTGCCAGGACCCAGGGTCCTGCTGGGGAGCGGGGGCGGGGGCGGGTGAGGGGCATCTCTGACTTGTTTTGAGCATTGCTGGACCTCACCCCACTGCGTTGGGAGTCCGTGGCTTCGGGTGTGGACTCTGGGTGTTAGTGGGTGTTGGCAGAGGCTGCGCCTCAGGCGAACGGCATTTATGCCACTGAGCGCAGTGGCTCACCCTGTAATCTCAGCACTTTGGGAGGCCGAGGCAGGTGGATCACCTGAGGTCAGGAGTTGGAGACCAGCATGGGCAACGTGGTAAAACCCGTCTCTACTAAAAATGCAAAAATTAGCCTGGCGTGGCGGCAGGTGCCTGTAATCCCAGCTGCTCGGGAGGCTGAGGCAGGAGAATCGCTTGAACCTGGGAGGCGGAGGTTGCAACAAGCCAAGATCAATCCTGGGTGATGGAGCGAGACCCTGTCTCTAAAAAAAAAGAGCCTCTATGCCTTTGTGTGCCGCCTGTAACTCTAAAACATTCTGCCCATTTTGAAGATGGCTGCTATTCACCAGCCCATTAAGAGAACCAGGCTTGGGAGTGGGAAAAGGTGCGTGGGGGGTGGGGCGCGGTGGTTGCATTCAGCACGGAGCCATCCCCACTCCTGTCTGGCACCTTGGTGGCCTTGTGCTGTGCCACGGTGGTCTGGTTTGGAGGTAGATTCTGTGAGCATGCAATCCGGGGAGATGGGAACGGATGCGCACTGGGATGGAGCCTCAGGCGTTGGCGGTGCTAGGCTTCACAGTGGCCCAGAGGCCATCCAGGTGCAGGCTGTGACGGCTCCGTCTACAACAGGGAGTGGATGATGCTTTTTTGTGGGAAGCGTTTGTCCTCAGATGCACTGTCAAGGCCACCGAGTTTGGTGTCTGGCTCTTAACTAGAGGTGCTGGTAGCACTGCCGCTGGGGAGCTGTGTAGGTCTCCCACTCCTGCCCCGTCTCAGGCTCCGGCGTTGGAACTGGGGGCCCACAGGAAGGGGCCTGGCCTCCCCTGCGTCTGCCCCATGTTCCTGAACACATCTCTGCCTAATGCTCGCTGCTAGGGAGACAGGGCCGCTCGGCCACCACCAGCCAGTCCTCCGTTATCTGGGAAATGGGCCCTAGAAATCCAGCCCCTGGAAGCCGCTCTCTGCAGGGATAAGGGATGGGAGCCCCATCTCCCTGTTCCTGGGCTGGGCTAGAGGGACAGGCATGGAGGGGTTCTGGGCTGGCCCATCCGGCCCCAGGTGACCCCTAGGCAAGAGACAGGAGTGGCCGCCACACCGCACTCCCTGGCCATGGTGGCCGTGGAACAGAAGAGTTAAGAGGGCGTGCCGGCCAGCCAGCTTTCGGGCACGGTGGGCCCCAGCCCCTCCAGACCTCAGCTCCTTCAGCCCCAGTGCTTTCCTCCTCCTCACTCAACTGCGCGCGCCCCGGGGGTAACACACCATCCATCACTGCAAGCATCCTGGAGACAGGAGCAGATGGAGGCGGCGGGGGGCGGGGAAGCCAGGTTATGATTGGCAAAGCAGAAGGCAGGGTCTGGTAAGGAACACGTTTCTGTGTTTAAGCTTCGAGGAACATTAAATGCCTGGGAGTTGATATTAAAAGAAACACAAACCTCTCAGCTGCCAGCTGACCTGGGCCTGTGAGCGGGCGGTTCAGAGCCGGAGTGCCCTGGAGGACTTTGAAGTCCCGGCACTCAGCGCTCCCAGGCCGGGCCCTGGCCCTCTGCTGCGGGCCCTCTCACCAGCCTTGCTTCAGGTGGGGGAGGCGTCCCCAGGGGCGTGCCGTGGCTCAGAAAGTCTCGCACCCTGACTGCCCTCAGAGCCACCGTGGATGGCCAGGCTGGTGAAGAGTCCAAACGGAGCTTTCACGCAAAGCCAGGCCCCATGGAGCCACGGAATGGTCTGTGCCCACGGCATGTCCCTGCCTCCCATCCGGCCTCCCGTCTAAGGAAGGGAACTGGCACCGGCATCTGGAATGTAGTCGGGCTCCCGGACACAGCCAGAGGTGGCTTTGAAACAGGACCCAGCCCTTGGGATGTTCAGGGGGCCTGAGGGAAAGGCAGGAGGAAGACACCCGCCTCTGGGGCCCCCATTTCTCTCTAAGCCCCTCCCAGCGGACCCTCTAGAGAAAACAAGGGACCCTTCGGCCTCAGCCTGATGGGGCCAGTGGGGCAGGAGTGGAAGCGGCGGGCTGGGGTGGGGCGGCCTTTAGTGACAGACAGACTGTGGCACTGGTGCTGTTGAAGGCCCTCCCTAAAGTCATCTCCTCGTGTGATCCCGGTCCTTTCCCTCCAAGGAGAGTGACAGTCCCTCCTCCCCGTTTTACAGATGAGGACTCAGGGGTACTGAGGCTAAGTCCCTCAGCCAAGGCATCTCTGTGGACAGTGTGCGGGGAAGACCCTACTCCCTCCCCTGTTCGGGGCCCCACGTCTCAGGCCTTTGTCAGGACGTTCCCCAGCCGAGGCAGGGGGCCTGGTGTGGCCAGTGGTTGGAGAAGCAGCTGGGGAGCTGCTTTATGGCATCAGGGGAGCTTATGCCTCCTTGATCTTACAGCCCTCTGGGCAGGGAACTCCTGTGCCTGGTACCCCTGGGAGAAAGGAGGAGGAGCCCGAGGCGGGTGGATCACACAGTCAGGAGTTTGAGACCAGCCTGGCCAAGATGGTGAAACCCCGTTTCTGCTAAAAATACAAAAATTGGGTGTGGTGCTCGCGCCTATAATCCTAGCACTTTGGGAGGCTGAGGCGGGCAGATCACTTGAGGTCAGGAGTTTGAGACCAGCCTGGCCAACATGGTGAAACCGCATCTCTACTAAAAATACAAAAATTAGCCAAGCGTGGTGGCGCATGCCTGTAATCCCAGCTACTCAGGAGGCTGAGGCAGGAGAATCACTTGAACCCGGGAGGTAGAGGTTATAGTGAGCTGAGATCACACCACTGCACTCCAGCCTGGGCGAGACAGAGTGAGATTCTCTCTCAAAAAAGAAAAAATAAGAAAAGAGCAGGAAGGGCACTTCGAGTGCATCTGGGAGGTCCCCAGCCCGGGACTGGCGCTCTGCAGGTGTGGGGTCCTGGCCTGTCAGTTGGAAAGACAAGAATATTGATTCATGTTCTCCTGCAGAACAACGCAGTACCAGTCACACCCACGCCCATGCCAGTGCCTAGGACGAGTCCAGCTCGGGGTAAATGCTGACATCTGCCGTCTGGGGTTCCTCCCAGGGCCCTGTGGGGTAGGGATGTCATCACAGTTAGAAAGGCGCACGGAGGAGCCGGCCAAGGCCATGTGCCCAGGAGCAAGCCAGGGCACACAGCCGCCTCCAGAGCCCATTTCTAGGTGCCCTGCTGCCTCCTGTAAATAATGAGACGGAAGATTGTACCACAGGAATTCAAAGGCAGAAAGGTCCTCATGGGCTGGAATTAGGGAGGCTTCAAGGAGGAGGTGGAACTAGAGTGATATGGAAGCACTGGCTTTTCTAATAGCAAAAGCAGCGTTTGCAGAGAAAGAAAATTGCAGTAGAAGCAGAGACTTGAAATGTAAACCCATCTCCACTCCCCCTTCCCCTCCCCCTCCTCCCAACCCATCCCCACTCCCCTCCCCCAGCCCATCCCCCCTTCCCCTCCTCCCAACCCATCCCCACTCCCCTCCCCCAGCCCATCCCCCCTTCCCCTCCTCCCAACCCATCCCCACTCCCCTCCCCCAGCC